AAAAGAAAGAAAAAAAAAAAAAAAAAGGGATATACCCGAGACTGAGCCGGCCCTTATATTATATATATATATATATATATCAAAAAATTATGAAATAAGATTAAACTACGAAAGAAAAGAAAATTAATCTATACTTACGCTAGAGAGAGAGAGAGAGAGAGAGAGAGAGGCCGATGAGAGAGAAGGAACTGTAAAATGGATTTCAAACTTAAAATCGGTGTTGTAATTTATGGAAGCAAAAAGCGTGTTTTGGATTACAATAATTTTTACTTTTTATTAATGAAATGAATTTGGCTTACAGATTTAAAATCTGCACAAAATCTTAATCCCAAATATTATCAGCCTACTTAAATTGTAGCAAAATATTGTAATATATACGTGGGATTGTCAATGTATGAAATTGCATAAATTATTAGCTGCATATCCAATATTAATATATAAGTATAACACTACGTAATATGTTAATTTGACTTACATGAGATTAATTAAATATTGGTAAATTACAAAACCCCCTGAATTTAGGTGAAATTACAAAAAACACCCCACACGTCCATAATTATTAAAATTTCCTAAGGATGGCCATGCGGCGAGTACGGGGTGGGTCTTGGAAAACCTGCACCGGCCCCTAGTGGCAAGTCCAGGATTTTGCCACAGAGTAGGTTTAGTTTTTTGGAGTTCGAGGGCAGCGTCCTTGAAAAGTTTATGATTTTTTTGACATAAAATTAGATAAAATCAGAAAATAGGTAAATAAATATTTTTTTTGGAACATTATTTACATTTATTTTTATTTGAGTGGGCCAATTAGTAAAAAAAACGGTGGGCTAAATACATTTAAGGGTATAATTTTATGGACCCAATTTAAAATGGGGATTATTTGAGAAAACCCCTCATATACATTTTATCATTTTTTTAACTCCTTTTTTAGATAAATCCATTTATATTTTATTAAGTAAATTATATTATTAATAACCTATTTTACCCTTTCTCAATTTATTTAATTAACCCAGAAACGTTTCCCGTATAATATAATCTTGTCTCAGCATTTCTCTTCTCTCTCCACAACCTCGCCCACACCTCGCCGCCCCGCCCCACCCCACCCCACCAGGCGACCACACGATCTCCATCCTCCTCATTCTCCTCCTCGGCGAGAGATCGTCCCATCGGCTACCCCTCTCTTTGTTTCTCTCTTACAGTCGGTTACTGCAAATTGCAAAACCCCCAAATTTCTAGAACCCTAGTTTTTGCCTTTGGAATCTTCCACCATCTTTCTCCTTCGCGACCATGCCCCCTGTTTATGCAATACCAAATCTATACATATGAATCTTCCACCATCTTTTGTTTATTCAATACCAAATCTATACATATGACCATGCCCCCTTTCACTGATAAAGAATTGATCGTTTTCTCCAATCTCTGATGGCCACCGCCCAAAATTCCAGAAATCGGACCTCCTCCCCGTGCCGCACCAGCGCGATTATCAATCTGCAATTGCCGCCGCCGCGATAGAGAACGACGGTCTTCACTTCTGCCAGTTCATGGTCGTCGGCTCGACCGCCGGCATGGTGGAGCACATGTCCATGTTCCCCGTCGACACAATCAAAATCCAAATGCAAAGCCCTAGGTTCCTGCCCGATTAAATCCGCTAGCGTCAACCAAGCCGTCGGTTCGATTGTGAAATTCGGGGCCCGCACATGCTGTCTAGTTCTTTGTTTACGAGTTCTGTAAGAAGAGATTCTCCGACGACAATGTGGACAATCACGCGGCCCACGCAACTTCTGGGGTTTGTGCCACTGTTGCTAGTGATGCGGTGCTTACTACCATGGATATGGTGAAGCAGAGGTTGCAATTGGAGTGGTTATGTAATGTTGATAAAGTTTATATGGTCAAAATGCGCTATGATCAATGGGCGCAACCTAACGTTTATGTATAAGATGGATGTGTTTTCACGAATGTATTCTTCAGGACGTCAATGTGCTTACAGTAAATAGTGGTTTTCAAATTTTCACGAAACAGTAAGTAGTGGTTTACGTTGGTGTTACTCAATATATCTTACGATTTAGTAATTTCATTTCATGTGTTCTGGTGTATGAGTTGATAATATACATGTTACTGTTGTATTTAATGGTGTAAGTTTACTCAATCCTTGTGTATTAGTGGTTTTTGTTTTTGTTTTTGTTTCTATGTGACAGAATATGGATATAATAGGAGGAGATTCAACAAAACTGCACGTACAACTTTAATTTGGAGTGGTTATGTATGAGCTATTGATGGGTCTAAAAATTGAGGAAAACAAATCGGACGGGGCTCTATTTGTTGTTGTACTCATCTCCATGTATATTTTAGATCGCCGAAGAGTGGATTTATAATTTTCACGAGTCAGTAAATAGTGGATTATACTTACAATAAATAGCGGCTTTCAAACAATAAATAGCGGCTTTCAAATTCAGACAGCGAATAGTGGATTTTAAAGTGAATAGTGAATTACGTTAATTTTACAGTGGTTTACGACAATTTAACAATGAATTTTACGTTAATTTTTAAATTATTTTTATAATGAATGTCGATAAATTTTGACAAATGTGTAGTGGATTTCATTTTTTGGTAATAAAATGATTTTTAAAAAACTGAAATTTTCAATAGGTTTATAGTGAATTTTCGTAATTGATAATGTTAATTACTTAGTGGTTTTCGATAAGTTTATAATGGATTTTCGTAATAACTACGTTAATACATAGTGGTTTTCGATAAGTTTATAATGAATTTTTGTAATGGAATACATTAATTACATAGTGGTTTTCGTTAATTACATAGTGGTTTTCGATAAGCTTATAATGAATTTTCGTAATGAACTACGTTATTACATAGTGGTTTTCGATAAGTTCATAATGAATTTTGTAATTGAATACATTCATTACATAGTGGTTTTCGTTAATTACATAGTGATTTTCGATAAGTTTCTAATGAATTTTTGTAATGGAATACATTAATTACATAGTGGTTTCGTTAATTACATAGTGGTTTTCGATAAGTTTATAGTGGATTTTAATTTGTTAAAAAAATTGTTTTTTAAATCAAAATGTCAAAAGAGAATTTAAAAAAAATAAAAATTAAAAATCAATTTTTAAAAACGAAAATATTTTTTTAAAGAAAATCAAAATTTTATAATTTTCTTATCAAAAACGCTTCAGAATAAAAATAAATTAAAGAAAAAAAAGCACAATTTAATCAAAATTTTAAAAACAATTTCTGAAAAAAAAAAAAAAAAAAAAAAAAGTCAATTAGAAACAAAATTAAGAAAACGTAATTTTTGTTGTGATTGAAATGGTATAAGATTTTTTGAGAGATTTTGGGGATTAGGGTGATTTTTAGGGGAGTTATTTTGGGAAAATAAATTAAACATTAAAATTCAAAAGAATCAAAACTACACCACAAGGGTAATATAAGTATTTTGCTATGGGAGGGGGTTATCCCAAAAATAGAATTATTAATTGGACTTATCCCTCTTAGGAAATTAAGTAAGGGGGTTATCTCATATAACCCCTTTAAAATGAGGGTGGACCCTCCTAAAGGACTGGACTCGTCCCGCTAGCATAAAATTTCAGTCGTACTCGTTTTGTGTTTGATTTTATTAAACCCACACCCGGCCCTGTAGAAAACCCACCCGGACCCGTAAAAACATTTTTTTTGTATATTTTTTATTTATTTAATTAAAATATCTTTAAACAAATAGTATTTTATAATATAAAAAATTATATAAAATTAAAAAAAAATTAAGGTAAAAGTGCATAGATCCAAAATCTGTACTCGCCACGGGTGAAACTTTTAAAACTTGTACCCGCCCCATTAGCAAACGGGTCGGGAATTACCCGGTTAATTCGAGATGGGGCGGGACGGGTACCCGGTGAGGAGGGTTAAATTGCTATCTCTAAAACTTCCCTATGGTTTGTTTTCATCCTACACAGATTTATTTACGGTTTTTATATAACAATCTAAGTCCAGGGATTTTTTCGTAATTCACTACGGTATTCAATCTTTTATTTTTTAAATGTAGCACAAATGAGTATATTTTCATCACATATTTATTTCAAGTGTTAGTATATTGTATTAGGTACGTGTCTTGCATTTAAATAATAATAATAAAATAACAAGACTGCAAATCCCATAATAAAGATAGTGAAGAAAGTTTATAATTAAGCATTTCTTAATTTTAAATTATAAATATAAAATTGAAAATCAAGAATCATGATTTGATTTTGATCCACAAGCATTAGTCTTGAGACACGTGTCAGTGGCTTCATCCCATGTAAGGTAAGAACAGTTGCGTGGCAGGTTGTTCTTGAAATCTATTGCCTGAAATGGACTTCGGTCAAAGTACCACTCACCTATTGCCTTCCTTATTGTCTGCAAATAAATAAAATAATATTATAATTATAATTATAATTATTTAGAAAAAAGTATATATATACATAATATATATATATATATATATATATATATAATATAATAATAATAAAAGTAAAATCTTACGTCACCCTGTAGAACATTTCCCACAACAGAGGAACACATGCCATCTCTGTTAGAAAGGTGGCCATGCAGTAAGCACGTGCTCACGAACAATCCTCTATTTGCAGATTTATCAACCGCTTTTTGAATTGTATTTAGATACACTTTCTGAAAATCTGAAATTAATATATTTTTTTTCAAAATTATTAATTAAATATATATATAATTTTTTAAATTAATTAAATAATAGTTGCAATAATTTGAGTAGTACGTAGTACGTACCTTGCATGGTTCGGAATTGAGATGATGTGCAACGTGTCACGTTTCTGGTGCAGTTGTTGCTCCATAATTGTGCAGCTTCGTCGCCAAGAAAAGCTACAAAGTTTTTTTCTATCTGCAAAAAATTAGGTCAAGAAATTAAATTAAAAGAAATTATAAACAATGATTAAACAATTAATTTTATTATTTATAAAATTAATTACCTGCCATCTGTCAAAAGATGTTTCGACTAGAAATAGTGGCGTCTGGACATCTCCAATTAAATTCTCAGCGAAAAGACACTATAAAATAAATCATTATATTTATATATAATTAGTATTTTAATATTTATTTATTTAATATATTAATGCTTAGATTTAAAAAAAATAATTAAATTAATTAAATAATAATCTCACCAATTTCGGATCCATTTTTGAGGTGCATGATGCTGGCAAACGTTCAGCTAGTTTCTGCATGCCAGTTATCAATTAAGAATAAATAAAAAATAATAATAATAATAAAAATCACAATTTACAATATTATTCACTTTTATTCAGACAAAATTATGAATTTATACATGTGTATTAATGACATCAGCAAAACGGTCTTCTCTACCCTTGGCTCCAGGAAGATCTTTTCTGAAAGTAAACAAGTACACAAAAATATACTTTTAATAATATTAAAAAATAAAATAAAAATTAGAAGTGGTAATTAAATTGAGATTAAAATATATTTTTTAAATAATAATTAATTACCCATGGATGAAAAACCCGGAATCCGAAATGCACTTCACACGATAAGCATTCGGTAGTAGTCCTCGAAACTTATCGCAATGTAAGATTGTCGTTAATCCACCGGCTGATGTACCGCTCAGTATAGCCTGTTAATTTAATTTATTAACCGGCGCTCGAAATTCAATATAATACAATTTAAATTAAATATCGAAAATCTGCCGTTCGTAAATACTTACATTTTCCGCGTTTTTCATTCCCATATTTAGCAATTCCTCCATTACAACATCAAAAATTCTTGCCCCCCTAAATGTGAGATTAGTTTCCTGAAAAATGATAAAATCGACAAATTTATTATATTACTAAATGTAAATAATTTAAATAAACACGATACGTGTATTTCAAAATAACATAATCTCGTTCTTTAATAACACGTTAATCACTATTATGCACTATTTAATTACCGGATCAACTCCTTCGACGTCGGCCATAAACGACGCGCCATCGCAATACGGGAGATAAATTCGATTCCAATTGTAGAAATCTGAAAGTCGATAACAAAAAAAAAAAAAAAAAAACCAAAAATACATATTTATATATTCAGCTAAATAAGATCTAACAGCTTATCAACTCTTAAAATATCTTATTAGATGTAGAAACTTATAAAATGTTTATAAATAAGCTTAGCCAAACGGGTTCTTAATTACCTGGATTAAATGTTTGATCTCCGTCGATAATCCCGGTAAAGTAGGGATTATTAGACCTCTTTCTACTGCTCCCCATCATTCCTTGTGATCTTAGGAGGCAATTATCTTTTGATAAACACCATGCACCACCCTAAATTAGTTTATTATTTATTATTAATTATTATTTTTTACCAAATTAAATAAGAACTATTAATAATTAGGAAATTAATTATATATTATTAAAAAAAATCCAACCTCAACATAAATTAACCAGTTATTAGCTCCATCTCCAGATCCCTTCTCATATGCATACATTGGTGGACTCCCATCCAAACAAACTATACCGAAAACGACACGGTTTTAATTTTTTTTTTATTTATAATAAAGAAAAAATATTAAAAAAATTGTTTTAATTTTATCTTGTTATTATTAATTCATATTGATAATTGATGTTATTTAATAAATAATATATAAATATATTACCTGCTCCTTTCGATACGGCACTGTCGAGAATCGTTAAGTTAACTTGACTGGCACCGTGGACTTTAATAATCAGTACAAAGACTGAATATATCAGTAGCTTTAACCAGTGATCAGCCATAGTTTGAATGTTGTTCTTCATTCTTAATTAATTGAATATTGTAAAAAATGTGATTAGTAGGAGTTAGGAAATTATTAAATAATATACTTAAGACTGTAAAATTACAATGTTAATATAATAGATTATCGCAATTTAAAGGGGTGTTTGGATGATGAGAAGATTCAGATTAATGATTGAAAAATTGACAGTAATTAATATTGTTCAATGACTTTTGGAGCTTATTCCCATTTGGTTTTTGGGAAAAAGATAATTTGGGTAAGAATTGGAAAATGATTTCTTCAAGAGCTTATAAGATGTTAAAAAAAGCTTATAAGCTATTTAAGAACTTATAAGCTCTTTCAAAGTTTTTGATAATTTCTAAAAATTGATCTGAAGAATTTCAAAAATAAGTTGTTTGAAAGCAAATAAGATCATTATCCAAAGTCCAAACACTATAAATATTAATTTATAAAAATAAGACGTGATAGCTTATCCGCTCTTATACAAACTTATTAAATGTAAGAGCTTATCAATTGTTTAAAATAAATTTAGCCAAACGGACCATAATGAATATAAATTCATTTTGGGAAGAGTGGGAAAGAAAGTAAATGCATCATCACCTAATATTTTTGGTTAGATACATGAACTTGGCCTTTTTAGTTATTTATATCTCAGATAATTACAAATTATGAATGTACTATTATTGATTTAGTAATTCGATAGGGATTGCAAATTAAAATGAAATCCAAATATCCAATATAGTACCATTAATCAATGAATTTAATTTATTTTTCTTCCTTTTCAAAGGAAGATAGTTACTAATCAATGAATTTATATCCACATTGATAAGACATATTTACTTACGACGATTATATTGGTTTTGCAGATACTACACCAACAGACCAGGTGATTTTAAACTATAAATCTGCACATAATGACACACACTCATGTGTATATGTACGTGTATTTCACCGGGTGTAGCATCTCATATTATTGCAGACGAAAATCGTTAAGAAGGAATTACGCAGAACTCATAGAAGATCGATGCTTTGCATTTTCAACATATATAACTTACCTTATGAACTACGTTTGATCACCTGGTAAAGTTTTAGAGGTAATTCCTCTAATTTATTTATCAATTGTTTTTTTTCTTTTTTTTTTTTTGTGTTTAATATGTTCTTGATTAAATAGTGTGGGTTCGTTAATTCTGTTAAGGAATTTTCCTGCGGTTCGCAATAATATTTGCTCTTTGACTTCTATGCTCCTTCCATTATTTATTTTCTTAATTCCTATTTTGGGATAATAAAAAAAGAAAAAAGAAAGAAAGAAAATATGGATTAATTCAAAATGAATAGTAGAAATCAAGAAACAAAATTTGGGACGGTTATTCAAATTTGTAATGCAATATCTTATTTGAAATTAGATGAATTGATCGATCAATTTCTTCGAAAAAAGAAAAAAGATGGTCGATTAATTTTAATTTGAACGACCAATTAATTCATGAATGTCTTTGTAGTTTTACACCGTAAATCTACATATAAATTACGCAATCCCGAAATTAGACAATGTCGGAAAGCGTTTTAGACTTTATTAGGAGCTCATTTCCAACAATACAGCCCAAGAATTAACGTGGATCGGTTCAGATTGAATCTACATCCACTAAGCAACCCGAAACAACTTAAATTTATTGATCGAAGAACAAAGGAGATTACAAAGATTACGATCGCAATGTGATTGACATAATTAAATTAGAAAACCCTAATTGTGCTATGAACTCAGAATTAGGTATGATCTTTCAATTTTCATGCTCAATGAAGTGAGGCACACAAGGTGACTGATGAAATGTCTCAACCAACTTACAACACATATTTGAAGCTATATGGGCTTCGATGTTCAAACTAATCGAAAAAACTTCAAACGGGCATGAGTTGAATACATGTACAGTAGAGCCTCGATAAATTAATAACCTCGATCAAAATAATAGTTTCTCCCGGTCCCGACTCAGTGAAAGCGTGTTAAATCATTAACTCGATAATTTAATAATTCGCTAAATTAATAGAATTTGTCTGATCCCGACTGTATTAATTTATAGAGGTTTAACTGTATTTGCAAATCTTCGACCAGAGCGTGTGCGAGTAGGAAGCTGCATTTACTATCGAAAGCAGCCAAGATTTAAGTAAATACGATATTCAGCTCTGCTGGATAGCATCATTGAGGGCATTCCGGAAAAAAAAAATGAGATGCTTGCGTACGCAATCCGGAAGCTTCTGGAATGTTCGTGAGAACAGCTTGACCCGCGTGGTTGACCAAGAAGCACGGCTGCAACAAGTTGCATTGTGGTAGTAATTCGAAAACTGAACGTTATTGCTGTTGTAATATTCGTTTCTTGAATATTTGTTGATCTTTACTATTGGTTTGTTACACGCTACTATGAAATTTAAAATCGAAGATTGTGCGTCGTAATTCAACCGGTTAAGTATCACTCGATCGAGACACTAATCTTGATTACCGTTTTTTTATTATCGTTGATTGTGTATTTGTTTGTATTGAATATTGCGTGTTTCGTACAATCACGCGTTTTTGCATTTATAATATAATAGTAAAATAACAAGACTGCAAATTGCAAAAGCCAATAATAAAAGTAGTCACATATCATCATATATTCATATTCATATTGACCTTGTGTTCACATTACATAGAGAGTTGCAAATTCGATGATCGAAGAGTAACAATTAACGGTGATCGTTAATTATTCAATCGCGCCTCACACTCCTTTCCGAATTCTTGGTGCGTAAGAGTACTCGTGCAGTTGAACGGCGACTCGTTCTTTAAATCAATCTCTTGAAACGGACTTCTGTCGAAGTACCAATCACTAATAGCCTTTCCGATTGTCTGGAAAATAAAAAAAACCCGAAGATAATTAATTAATATATAAACGATTTTGTGTATTTATTTTAGTGACAAAATTAAAAAAGAGATCTTACTTTGTTTCCGAGTGCGTAATTTCCGACGAGAGATGAGCACATCCATCCGTCTCTGCCATTGAAGTGGCCGTGGCGATAGCATGAATGGACGTACAATCCTCTGTTTGATGATTTATCGACAACTTTTTCGAGTGTCTCGATAAAGGCCGATCGGAAATCTGTAATTAAATAATTAATTTTTTTTTAATTATCAATTTTGAAAATTTAATAATAATTGTTGATTAGTATATACCTTTCATAGTTTGTAATTCAGTTGATGAGCAAAGTGTTAAATTTGTAGTGCAATTACTCCATTTTAGCTTACCACCAACACAAGGTATAAGGTTTTCTTCGATCTGAAATTAAAATAAAAATTGAAAATAAGATTTAATGTTAATATAAATATAAAATATTATTATTAATTTTTTTTAATAATTATTGTGAGAGTGAGGTTACCTGAAATTTCTCGAAAGCTGATTCGAGTATAAAGAGTGGTGTCTGAATATCTTGAACAAAATTCTCAGGGAAAAAACACTGAACATGCAATTAGTATTTTTTATTTAAAAATTAAGAAATAATAATAAGGTTTTAATTATAATTATTAGATAATAAATTAGTTAATTAAATTAACTTCTCTCACCAATCCCTCATCCATTTTTGATGTGCATGACGTGGGCAAAAGTTTAGCTAGTTTCTGCATGCAATATATCAATTCAGAATATTAGAAAAAAAAAAATTAAAAAAATTACAATTTACAATTAGGGGTGGTAAACGAGCTGAGCCGAGCCGACTCGACAAAAGCTCGAACTCGAGAGAAGAAGGGCTTTACATGTGTTTTAACAACTTTCGCAAAACGGCGTAGTCTGTACTCTGCTCCAGGAAGATTTGTTCTGAAATAAAACAGGTAAACAAAAAAAATTAATTTTTAATTTTTAATTTTTCACTATATCGAAAAAAACCGAAAAACTAGGGGTATTTTAGTAATTACCCATGGATGAAAAAACCGGAATCAGAAATACATTTCACTCGACCAGCATTAGGAATTAGTCCCCGAAACTTGTCGCAGTGTAACATTGTCGCCAGTCCACCGGCCGATGTACCGGTCAATATAGCCTGTTAGTATAAACATCACCGATCGGCAAAATCGGAATTTTATTCACGAATGTTCGATATTTAATTATAGTAAAACATACATTTTCAGCGTTTTTCATTCCTTTAGCTAACATTTCGTCCATTACAGCATCGAAAATCCTTGCTCCCCTATATGTGAGATTGGTTTTCTGAAAAAATAAAATAAAATGATAAATACATTTATTTATAATCAATATTAATCTACACACACCAATATGGATGTGTGTGCGTGTGTGTGAAATTTTAGTGTAGTTTGTAAAACTTACCGGATCTACACGTTCGACATCGGCCATAAACGATGCACCGTCACAATATAAAACAAAAACTTTATTCCAGTTGTAGAAATCTGAATGTAACAACAAACAAATTATTAAAACAAAGTTAAGTAATAAAATTTACGCAATATTTTGTTTACTAATTACCTGGATTAAATATCTGAGTTTGGTCGAGAATCCCCGAGAAGAAGGTTCGATTAAACGGCCTCGATATACTGTTCCCAAAATACCCTTTTGCTCTATCCAAGCAATCAGATTTTGAATTACACCATCCACCACCCTGAATTATTCCACATTCATAAATTTATTTATTTTTACATTTTTTTTTATTAAAACAAAATAAAAATAAAAAATATTAGTAGAAAATTAATCATATATTACCTCAAGAAAAACAACCCAATTATTAGCCCCCTCTCCGAACCCCTTGTCGAACGCGTAAGCGGGTGGACTCCCATCTAAACAAACTGTAGCAAACACGACCGAAAATTCGTATTATTTTGAGATTATATTAAAGAAAATAAGTTTCGATTTTAGCTTCATTTGATTACATTTTTATCTATTCATGTCGCATGCGCGCGTGCGCGTGTGTGTGTGACATGTCACACGAGATACAATATAAAATTCAAAACATGAAATTTCGAGTGAATAATATAAATATAGTATGTAGTCGAACAAACCTGCTCCTTTCGATACGGCACTCTCTAGAAATGTGAAGTTAAGAAAGCTATCACCGAAGACTAATTGCGCGTTCAGTGCAAAAACCGAACATATTATTAGCTTTAACCGTTGATCGACCATTTTCGCCATTCTTTAATTACATGTAAAAATATGGTGCAAATATAATTAATGATAATTAACAATAGAATAAAAAATATCAAAACAAAGAATTATTTTTCGATTTTATTTCGAAACATAAAAAAATTAGAATCGAAAGCGAACCACGTACGATCGATTTTATTTTTTTTTATTTTTTTTATTTTTTTATTTACCTGGTGAGCGAACCACGTACGATCGATCACTTGGTAAAATTATAGAGGTTATTCCTCTATATTTTTTCGCAGTGATTTTTACGTTTCGTTTTCTTGATTTTTATAGTGTATGTATATGGATTCATTCTGGTATGAACTTGTATGTGGTTCACCATGCATATTGCCTAACCATGGTTTAATTTAGCATGCATATTGCCTAACCATCCATATTTGTATGGTTTCAATTAATCAGAAAAAGAAAAATGTGACACGTGGACGAAAATATTTTCGGACCACCACGAGACCGAACTCCTGTTAGGGCCAAAGTTTAAGTTAACACTATTTAAGCAATCCAAATAACAATTAAAAAAAATCAAGAAACACATTCCCTCGGCTTCTGAATAAGCGATCATACGTGGTCCATAAGGTATTTTTGTTGATGTAATTTTTTTTTCTTTTTCGGTTTCGAAAGTCGTTTTTCATGTAGTGAAAATTCTAAAATATTAATTTTTTTTTTTTTTTTTTTTTTTTTTTTTTTTGTTGTTGTTACGTACGTAAAGAATGGGAAAACACGTTCAGATCATGGCTGATCACCGGTCGAAGCTGTTGGTTTGTGTATTTCTTGTGCTAACCACTCAAACCTTATCCGAGTTGACAGACAAAATTAACATCACATATGTTAATAGCGCTGTCGAGAAAGGAGCAGGTTTTCATCGAATTTCTACTCTTTTTTTTCGTCTAATTTTTTTTTTTCGTTACGTTGCATGTTAAATTAATAGAGACGGTTTTTTTTTTTTTTTTTTTTTTTTTTACCGTAGTTTGCTTGGATGGTACTCCACCGGCATACTACCATTCCGTAGGATTCGGAGATGGAGCTGATAATTGGTTGGTCTATCTCGAGGTTAGCTCGATAAATTAAAAAAACGAGCTCAAATCGATAAAATTAAAATAATCGTCGTCTCATAAACGATTTTTATTTTTCTAGGGTGGTGCATGGTGCAATTCAACGGAGACGTGTCTCGAGAGAGTGAAAATTAAATGGCTTGCGAGTACCTCTACTAGACCGGCTATTAGATACGTGTCCGGGATTTTCACCGTTAACCAAACGTTCAATCAAGGTACGTATATTGTTTTGTACGTAATTTTTTCGTATATAATTAATCCGTTTATATATAAAAAAAAATTCCCAATTTCGTCTAGCCTTCTACAATTGGAACAAAGTCATCATCGTATATTGTGATGGCGCGTCATTCACGGGAGACGTCGAAGAAGTCGATCCAGTTAAGTCTCGAACACAATAATCAATATATATTTTATATAACTTCATAATTTTTTTTTTGCTAATATAATTGAAGACAATAACATCAAAAAAAAATTTAATCATTTTATTCATTTTTATACTACACATTATTTTCAGACAACCAACCTCCATTACAGGGGTGCAAGGATTTTCAGAGCCGTGATCGATGATTTATTAGCTAAAGGAATGAAGAATGCCAAAAACGTACGATTTTTCTTTTTTTTACGAATATTTTTATTTATATGATTAATATATATATATATATATATATATATATATATATATATATATATATATATATAATAATTATATTAATATTAATATTAATTAACAGGCTGTACTTACCGGTAGCTCGGCCGGTGGATTGGCCACGATCTTGAATTGTGATCGCTTTAGATCACTCGTACCTCATGCTACTAGAGTGAAATGCATCTCCGATTCCGGTTTCTTCATTCACTCGTAAGTCTTATAATAATTTTATAAAAACCCCATTTTAATTTTTGTACATCTTTTTGGTACTAAAAAAATTTACATGCGTATTGGTGTAATTATTTTACGACAGAAAAAATATGCCCGGAGCAAACGAAAGAGAGGCGTATTTCACTCAAGTGGCTGAACTACATGTATTATTTCTCTTGCTCTCTATTTATTACATGTATTGGTGTAATTATTCATCTCGTATTTATTTTTATTGGATTAAATAAAATACGAGACAAAAAATCGTCTTACGATAAATGATGCGAATTGTCGTATTACTTTTTCAGGGAATGGCTAAAGCTTTGCCTCAATCATGTGCATCAAAAATGAATCCTGGTTTGGTGAGATGATTATTTTAATTATTATCGTACTCGATAAATTTTAAAAAAATATCCTTTTAATAATTGTTCGATTAGAAATAACAACAACGATAATAAAATTTTATCAGTGTCTTTTCCCCGAGTATGTGATTAAAGATATGCAGACGCCACTCTTTATACTCGATTCACTTTTCGACCTGTACCAGGTAAATTCATTTATTTTTCGACTTACGGATTTCACTAATGAATATAGCGATTTCTAATTTTTTTTTTGCTTAGGCTCTAAATATATTGCATTGTTATTTCAGATAAAAGAAATGTTAGCACCTTTTGTTGGTGGTTGTAAGGAGCAATGGGATGATTGCACTACCAATTTAACACTATGCACATCATCCCAACTTCAAATAATGAAAGGTGCTCTAAAATTTTTATTTATTATATTCCAATTATATATAATTAATGCAAAACTCAAATAAAAAAAATCGAGTTTTGAATGTGCTCGATTTTCAGATCATCGGACAGCGTTTTTAGAAACACTGCAAGAAGTCGAAAGCCCGTCGCTCGGAATATTTGTTCACACTTGCTTTCTTCATACACACGTCCTCGACAAAGATGGATGGAGGTGCTCGTTTGTGGCGCGTAATGTGTTGGCAAAGAAGGTAAGATTTTCTTCTATCTTTTTTTTTTCCGAAAACTATAGTTTTTTTTTTAATTTAATTTTCTCTATATTATTACTATTAGTATTACTTTTCATTATTTAAAAAAATGGCCTCGTAGTGACATATCGTAATATACGTAGGATTAAAAATCGGATGGATCTGATAAGAATTAGCACTTCTGGAAAATATCATTTTTTCGGAAGTTCTGTTTCAATAATAAATCGAAAATTGGAATGAAAAACTCGTCCCGAAACCGGTTTTTTCGTATTGAAATCGGTGGATATTGAAAAAAAAAATATATTTTCTTGTCACTGAAAATATGAAATTTCACAATAATAATGATAATGTAAGTGTAATTTTTGGAAAAAAATTGGGACTTTCGGAATTATTTTCGAAAATTAAAACCGAATCGGAAATCAGATTCGATTTAATATTTTTGTTTGAATTGCAGACAATCGAGGAGGCTATTGATGATTGGTACTACGATCGAAGCTCGTTTCAGCAGATAGATACTTATACTACCGTGCCTAGAAATTGTACTGTGTCACGTGATAATGACATAATGAACCAAAGATGTTTGCACCCCAAGCACGTGCACCCCATGTATTAAGTTGTATGATCAACCAATTAATAATAATAATAATAAAAAAATTAATTAAATATTGAATTTCTCTATTTCTGTTTTTTTTTTTTATTGTTATTAATGGCAAGAATATTAAATTTCTCCATTACTGCAAGAAACAATACTGTCACTTATTTAGATTAATTTTCATAAACTTAATTATTAAATAAATGAAAATATTTATAATACATTATTAATTCCTACTTTTATGAGACTTTTAAATATTTAACAATTAATAAAAGGGGAAATTAGAGTTTTTACCCCTCAAGTTTGCACCAATTTCACATTTGGTCCCCGGTGTTCACAAAAAAACCACAATTGGTCCCTCATGTTCCAATAATTTAAGATTTTTGGTCATTCCTTTTCGTCAATTTACCGTTAGTCCGATAGTTAAGGCAGTTATGGACATCAGACACAAGCTTGATTCCGTTAGTTTTAACGGGAAGTCGATTGAAAGGGCTAAAAGTGTTGAAATTATGGAATATAAGGGACCAATTATGTTTTTTATAAACATGGGGACCAAATGTGAAATCGCAAACTTGTGGGGCAAAAACTGTAATTTCCCCATTAACAATCAAGATCCGACCCACATAGGGGAAAGTCCAAATACGTAAATGGGCTGACCGGGTCAACCCAATAAGAACTGTGTTGAAAATGGGCTGACCGCAATTCGGCCCTATAGAACTTGAGTCAAGTTCTCACATGGCTGCAGAAATGGCGTCCCGACCAAGTTCCAATTTTGAATCCCCAAATACTGCACCATTTCACGCTCCCCCACTACTCCATGCCTACAATCATTTGCAGGTAAGAGCTAAGAACTACTACACTTAGCTTCAGAATGCAGTAATTTACCATCAATCCCTAGATCTGAAACATTTTAACCACAGTAGAGCAGATCTCTCTTTCGCCATTAACGCCCTATTCATCTGAAACGATGAGCAATTGATTTGATTGATTGAGAAAGCGATGGGCTCGAGCAGTAGCAAGCACAATGCGCCTGGACAATCACCTCCTCCTCCGCCGCCGCCGCCGCCGCCGCCGTGTGAAGCCGTTGTACGGAGGAGCCGATCCAGAGGAAGCAGAGTTTTGAGGTCGTCGTGTCTCCGATCTCACCGCTCTGATTGTGATGAACCCCAGGTGATTTTAGCAGGCCCCCCCTATTTTTTATTTACAGTTTTTTATTTTTTTTAATTGGGTGATTTTTGGATCTCTGTATTTGTGAAGATCTTATTCCTATTGTGAGTGAATTGGTTTGTAGAGAGTGTAGAATTTTACTGCACGTGATGGAATTGGTGTTGAATTTTATATGTTTGACTGTTTGAAAATTGGTGAATCAATTTTTAGATGAACAATTTCTCGACTACTTGTGGATAAACATCTTGTGCACTATATATTTGAGTGGTAAAATATATTAGAAAACTATTTGTACATTTCGACGATTTTTAGCAAAAACTGTGTGCTATATAGTATACGATTTTTGTGATTTTGCTTCATTATTTTAAAATTAGTGAAGCGATTTTTAGATGAATTATTTCTTGACTACTTATGGATAAACATCTTTTATACTTTATATTTGAGCGATGAAAAATATTAAAAAAAAAATTAAAGTTTCAACAATTTTTAGCAAAAACTGTGTGCTATAATAGTATATGATTTTTTGTGATTTTGCTTCATAATATTTCTTCATTACTTATGGATAAACATCTTCTATAGTTTATTTGAGTGTTGAAAAAAAAAAGATTTGAACATTTCAACGATTTTAAGCAAAAAGTGTGTGCTATATAGTATACAATTTACTGTGATTTGCTTGATTGTTAAAAAAGTAGCGAAACATATTTTTTAAGAACAATTTATTCATTCTTATAGATAAACATCTTGCAAGCTATATATTTGCGTGTTAAAAAAATATACATATTTAAACATTTCGGCGATTTTTAGCCAAAAAAACGTGTACTGTAGTATACGATTTATCATGATTTTGCTTAATTGTTAGAAAAGTTGTGAATAATTTTGTAGATGAATAATGTCTTGATTACATATGGATAAACATCTTCTATACTTTATATTTGAGTGTTTAAAATATTAAAAAAAGATTTGAGCATTTGAACGATTTTAAGCAAAAAAGTGTGTGCTATGTAGTATACGATTTATTGTGATTTTGCTCGACTATTAAAAAAATAGTGAAACAATTTTTAGATAAAGTATTTCTTGACTACTTATGGATAAACAAGATGTACACTGTATATTTGACCGTTAAAAAAATTAAAAAAATATTTGATTCTTTTTGCAATTTTTTGCAAAATTCGTGTTAGTAAATGATTATTTTGTGGTTTTGCTTAATTGTTCAAAAACAAAAATACCCGTTGCCTTTGTACGAAACTAAACAATGATTGTATCTCTGATGGATGATATTAATTTTCTCAGTAGTTTCTCTCTTAATTTCGACACTTTTTAGGTTTCTAATTCCCCAAGTGAAGAAAACAGCAATTCCGTCTATTCTCCAACCGAGAATAAATCAAGCTCTTGTCAAGTTTCAGCCGAATGTTACAGCAAAGATAATGACATAAATTGTGTACACTGGGGCGAATCGAGCTTCACAAATACCGTATCTCTACAAGCCAACACTTCTTCTAGAAACTTCTCCTCTCGATCACTAAATCCTCCTAGTCGCTTCATTTCTCGTTTCACTTTCAATCCGGGAAATTTAAGCTTCCGTTTAACCAGAGGCAACAGCTGTCCTGCACCTTCCACTGGTTTAGCGATCTCGAACGACGAAGAAGAATTCGTGGGCCCCACTAATATTACAAGAAATCGAAATAACAGGCATCAAGGTTGCGACTTTTTCCCTGCTTGCTTCACCAGTAGTAGGACTCGTCATAATAGATCACAAGATGAAAATATTCCGTCTATCTCTATTCCTGATTTATCCGACAATTTTCAAGATAATCGAGAATTAAATCGTATCGAATCTAATGAAATTCAGACAAGAAATTCAAGAAGACGTATTGCTGCTCGAGAGCCCGTTGAAACGAATGTCCGATTTAGTAGAACGCTGAGTGTGGGTAGACTTCGTGACAGGGTTCTTCGAAGAAATGCAACAGCTGTCGATTTGGATTTAGATCTTTTTCAGCAAGACGGGGAACTGGGGCCCACTAGTCACCACACCCATGAAGAAGTTCAAGCGTCAGCTGATTATAATAATAATAATAATAACCTCGGTCAGCAGGTTTCTTCTGGTAATGTCATACCTAGTTTTTCGAACCCTTTTAATGGTGGTCAGAATAATTCGTATGAAACCCCACGAGCAAGAGAGACGAGGTATCGTGATCTACTCGAGCATAGATCGAATTTCATCGAGCGAAGAAGAAGAATAAGATCACAGGTATGTTAATTTTGATTGTTTACGTATATCGGATTAGATTAGACTGGATTGGATTAATTTCCTACTAACTAATTATTTAGTTAATGTTAAAATTGTTAAAATCTGATATCATATGTGAATTTTCAATAATATCCATTTTAACAATTATCATATCCTAATATAAAATATTTATGGACAAAATCGTCTTTTTGGTATTTAGTCACTGGTAGGGCTGCTACTAAATATAAATTTATTGGATAGTAGCAGTTAATTGCGGGTTGCAGTTAGTTTGAATCTTGCCAACCAAGCATGTTACTAAATCCTAGTATTTAGTCATACAAACATTGTACGCGACTTATATTGTACAAAAATAGTACTCGCGAATGTTCATATGGGATGTTATATATTATAAATTTATTAATCTCATGTTTAGGTGCGTGCGCTTCAACGACTTGGAAGCCGTTTCGAGAATTTATCGGGCCACGAGAGGTCTTGTATATTATCTGGTCAACATCAAGGAGGTCAATGCACTTGTCGAATTTCTTCTCGTGAGGCTAATTCAAATAATGATGCTAATGCTAGGGCTAGTATTTCGAGAATCGTCATGTTAGCCGAGGCTTTATTTGAGGTAATGACTTATATATGCGTGTGTGCGACGTAATTTTTTTATTTACTAAAAATGGTGTTGAATTTTTTTTGGCGCTCGTTTTTTTGTTTAAGGTATTGGATGAAATTCACCAGCAATCTGTAGTATTACCCTCTCGACCGAGTGTTTCTTCCATCGGATCCGTTCCGGCACCTAGTGAAGTCGTTGACTCACTGCCGTTGATTATATTTAGTAATTTTAAAAGGAAGCCATGTGAAGACGCTGCACAGTAAGTTGATGTTTTTAACTTCAATTCGGTCTATAATTTCAAGATTTCTTTAGTAAATGTTGAATTAGGTCCGAGAAACGTGTTTATAAATTACCAGGAAGTGGATGTTACATATAGTTAATGAGAAATCTTGAACGATGTGTTTTTATTTATTTATTTTTTATTTTTTATTTTCCGCCTGTATTTGATATTCAATAAAAATGAGATTTTTCTTTTCATTTGATTATTGTGATGTTAATAAATAATGACAGATGTTATATATGCCTCGTTGAGTATGAGGACGGAGATAGTATGCGGTCACTACCTTGCCATCACGAATTTCATCGAGCATGTATCGATAAATGGCTCAAAGAAGTTCACAGGTGACTTTTCCAACACTTTTTACCATTTAATTCGAATTAAGAATAAATTATATAAATCGTTCTTTTTTTTTATCTCAGGGTATGCCCCGTTTGTAGACGGGACATCTGCCGACCAGAGTCATTAACTACTACGAGTTGATGGCAGATTATTACAAGCAATCCTTAATCTTTTCAAAAGACGAGCACTTTTGGTAATAATAAATTATATGAGTTAATATATGCCTTGGTTTTTTACCGCCCTCGTTTTTCATGTTGTTGCTCGATTTTTTCAAGTTTGGCTTTGTGGAGCAACGGAAGTTACATCTCTGCTTGAAGTTTTGAGGGCGTGCGGTGAAAATGTGGATTTTGAACAAACTCGGTTCAACCTATATTTATTCGAAAAGTTGGTGTTTTTTTTTTCGTTCGGTGTTATGTTTGCAGATGAAGATTGTGGGGAATGTATCTATTTTCGGTGTTCTTGTGTAAGTAGTCGAAAATCGATACAATGGAATAGGTTACGGTCGAATCCTAACCTACGTTACATTCGGTGTTATGTAAATTGGATGAAGATTTACTATTTATTTACACACTATAATATGAAGGTGTGTTTTAATGTGTGAATGAATAATTAAACTCTCTTGTTTGATTTTAGTGTAATTTTATAAATACATTTATAATTCTATATAGTATTATTATTAATACATTTATAATAAAATGATAAAAAACCAAATAAAAAAAAATTGGATTTAATCAATTAAATATGGTTATTTGCTATACACCCCTCTACTGTAATTTTCTTTCAAATAAGGACAAATCACATTTCACATTTTGCAAACTAGCTTGCAAAGAGAAGTAAATCGTACTGGACTAATAGTATGTAGCAACTAACTTTGTGGGTATAAAGTGACAATTTTACGTTTTATAGGGTCTAAAATGCAAATAAACCGCATAAGTATGTGATGTAAGAAAGAGCTGAGTAGAGCTGATGAGCCAGAGATGCGGCAAAAATGAACACCAACACCACCATGAACCACCGCTTCGCCGCCGCGGCAGAAGATCTCGACGTCCACGAATCCCCGGCCCCACCCACCACCACCTCCACCCACCCCTTCCAACCCCAACCCCAGCGCCGCCCCCGCGGATTCGCCGCCACAAACTCCAACAACAACAACACCACGGCCACCACCACCAGCGGCGGCACTCCGACCAAAAGCAGGAAAGAGAGGGAAAAGGAAAAGGAGAGGACGAAGCTCCGAGAACGGCACAGGAGAGCCATCACGAGCCGAATGCTCGCCGGCCTTCGGCAGTACGGGAACTTTCCCCTCCCCGCCCGCGCCGATATGAATGACGTCATCGCCGCCCTAGCTCGCGAATCTGGTTGGACCGTAGACCACGACGGCACCACCTACAGGCATTCCTCCCCTTCTCCGATGCAGCCGCCGCCTATTGCTCATTTCAATTCCGTTCAACAGAATAATAGCAACGTCCCCAATGTGGTGAGTAATTTCAAAATCGAGAAGAAATCGATTTTTCCCCCAATTTTGTTGCTATTTTCTCCTCAGTAGTTTTCATGTGGTGCTTGAATTGTGTTGCATTTCAGTTTCATGTTCGGAATTTGTTGCGGTTTTAGGATAGGCGGCATACATTGTTGCTCGAATGTAGGTTTTCGTGTTTACCGTGGTTCTCCAGTTATGTGATTTTATCTGGAATTTCGTTGTCGAGAGATTCGACCAATTTAACTCTTACAATCGATCGCCAAATCGTTGTGATTTTAAATAACTTAATTTCAATGTCGTCGTTAAATAACATCATAAGACCATACCATGTTTTTCTCATTAGTTGCTAATTCGAGCAGGGAGCACATCCAGTTCTGTCAGGTGAGAGCCCATTATTTTCCGGTTCTCCGAAAAATTGTTCCATGAGATCAGCACTCGACTGTCAGCCTTCAGCTCTTAGACTCGACGAGAATCTTTCGCCAGCATCTCTTGATTCCGTTGTTCCGGATAGGGACGGAAAAGTTGATAAGTATTCAATTACCAGTGCCATAAACTCTTCCGAATGTTTGGATCCAGACCAGGTCAATTCATTTTTTTCCGTTTTGAAAATTATTTTCAACGACTTGGATTATGTGCATAATCAATAATTATCTCCGTCACGGTCGTTTTCTTGCAGTTTGTGCATGCCAATGGTATTTCTGGGACCTCCTATATCCCTGTTTACGTTAGGCTTTCTGTAAGTTTCCGATTCTTTCCAAAAAAAAATGTTTGCCCTCGTACTAATTTCTTCTATTCTTTGAATATTCAAACTAATTCTGAAATTAATTCTGCCAGACTGGCTTGATCAACAATTTCTGCCAGTTGATGGATCCCGAAGGCGTTAAAGAAGAGTTACAGCATCTGAAGTCTTTACGTGTTGATGGTGTCGTTGTAGATTGTTGGTGGGGCATTGTCGAAGCGTGGTCGCCGAAAAAATACGAATGGGCTGGATACAGGGAACTCTTCAACATTATCCGAGAATTTGGGATGAAATTGCAGGTAATTATGTTTTTTTTTTTTTTTTAATAATTGGTGGCAAGAATTTTTGACTTTTATGATCATCCGAAGGTGGTAATGGCTTTTCACGAATATGGAGGAAATGATTCTGGCGGCATTTTCATATCCCTACCTCAATGGGTTTTGGAGATTGGAAAAAGCAATCAGGATATATTCTTCACAGACCGTGAAGGAAGAAGAAACACCGAGTGCCTCTCGTGGGGCATTGACAAAGAACGAGTACTAAGAGGAAGAACAGGCGTAGAGGTAATTAATTATTATTTTATTCACCTTTTTCATTTATGTAATTATACTTTTATCAGCTTCGATAATATGCAAGTGTTTGTGTAATTCCAGATGTACTTTGATTTCATGAGAAGCTTCCGAACTGAGTTCGATGATCTATTCACCGAAGGCCTTATTTCTGGTGTTGAAATTGGATTAGGAGTTTGTGGAGAGCTCAAGTACCCCTCCTTTTCCGAAAGGATGGGATGGAAATATCCGGGCATCGGTGAGTTTCAGGTATTTAGTAATTTTGGTATCTTTTTTCTTCAAAATATCTTCATAATTGAAATTTGACCATGCTAATTCTCTATGCATTCACCTTGTTTTCGGGTTTTTTTTTTTTTTTTTTTTGCAGTGTTATGATAAATATTTATTGCAAAATCTCGAAAAAGCTGCAAAACTGCGTGGGAATCCGTTTTGGGCTAGAGGGCCAGAAAATGCTGGGCATTATAATTCAAAGCCACACGAAACTGGATTCTTCTGTGAGAGAGGTGACTACGATAGTTACTATGGACGCTTCTTCATGAATTGGTACACGCAGATCTTAATAGACCATGCAGATAACGTTCTGTCCCTTGCAAGTCTTGCATTCGAGGAAACACTAATACTTGTCAAAGTACACTCTTCTATTTTTCTATTTTTTTAAATATTTTTTTTATTAGTGCCCTTTTTCCGTTAGTAGATTTGGAGTTGAAAAAATAATAGTAACAGATTTTTATGATGATGTAGATTCCATCGGTTTACTGGTGGTACAAGACAACAAGCCATGCTGCAGAGCTTACAGCTGGATATTATAACCCTTCTAACCAAGATGGATATTCTCGACTATTCGAAGTGCTGAAAAAGCATCAAGTTACTATGAAATTCGTCATCTCAGGACTGCATGCTCCATATCAAGAAATCGACGGGGCATTTTCCGATTCAGAAGGCTTGAATTGGCAGGTTCGTCACCTTTATGATCATAGATAAGGTCAAGGGGAGCAACGCCCCCCCACCACTTCTCAGAAACTACAAGAACATTCTAGTGATGGTTATAGATTTTGAAATCGTAAACTTGGAAATTGTGCAGGTTCTTAACTCAGCATGGGACCAAGGGCTGAGTGTTGCTGGTCAGAATTTGCAGCCATGTTATGACAGAGAAGGGCTTGTGAGGCTGGTCGAGACTGCAAAACCAAGAAACCACCCTGATTCTCGTCATTTTTCCTTCTTTGTTTTTCAGCAGCCTTCGCCTTTGATCCAAAGAACTATTTGCTTATCGGAAATTGACCACTTTATTAAAAGCATGCACGGTGCGCTTTTTTTAAGTTTTTATATGGAGGTTTTTTCATTATTTACTTGCGATTGGGTTTTTGACGTTTCCGTTTTGCCTAAAACTGCAGGTGAAGTCAGTAGCTGACTGAAGATCATATTTATTTTGCTTTTTCTTGGAATTGTAAAAATGTATTGCTAATATTAATAGTTGTTGTGATTTATTTTTTAGGTTCACAATATTAGTTGTAATTTCGAAAGAGTATGTGTAAATACTCTCGTGTGTTGAATCGCATTCGAACTGCTGCTTGAGTTGGCATCATGTAAAAGACAGCACCATTGCTTCGAACGAACACAACTCGACTTTGTGTTGGTTTTCTTTCCTAACACCTCTTGATACACAATCCCATCGAATCTTATCAATCCCATCAATATTCTCAAACGAGGTTTTTGTTAACATTTCTCTAGTCTAGCAAAAATCTTAAATCCCCCATTTTTAATAAAATGAAGATCTGAACAATTTCAATGAATGTATTTATAATTATGAAATTGAAAAAAAAAATCAATAAGCTTACTTAACATATCTTTGAGAATCACAGTACTGAGGGAATTCACATTGGCAAGCCCCTTTCAACACCTACATCACATGACACAAATAGTATAAATATGAAAACATATGTTTTTGCAATAAACAAGAATAATAATAATAATGATCTTAAAGGGTAATTACGACCAACTCCTTGAAGTATGGTCAAAATTACGAAAACCCCCTCTTGTTTGGGTAATTACAACCACCCCCTCAACTATGTATTGTCTTACGACAAAAACCCCTCCTTCAGTAGGTAAATATGACACCGTGTGGGTGGACGTGTCTTAGATAATACATAGTTGAGGTGGTGGTTGTAATTACCCAAACAAGAGGGGGGTTTTCGTAATTTGACCTTAATTCAGGGGGGTGGTCGTAATATACCTTGCGTAATGTAAATGACACCCTCCTCGAACCCCTACGAATCAAACTGTCCTCCACTTTATCCACCTGCAAAAATCACAAACATAGTCTCAAAAGAAAGTCACATATTAATTAGTTAATTAATTAAAGTGAGACCGATATAAATTCTTGATTATTAATCAAATTGAATTACAAACTTTTTCTCCTTTCATAAGAGATCACTAAACCGTTTACCTTGTGGTGTGGAATGTAATGATGCCATGCATAACGTGCCTCTCCAGACAATAACAGCATCGATCGAGGGGGGAGATAAAGAGCTTTCCTTATGAAATTCGAACTCTTTTCCGAGTTTTGATTGTCTAAATCGGAATTCGAGTTTGTTTTTTCTTGCCAAACATTTGTTGTATACTTTCTGAATTCCATTATGCACGGGCCCGCTAATGATAGGCTGAAAATCAATCCTTCGAATGCTGAATGTGTGTCTATATGCGGCGACAATCCCACGCCAGGTGGATACTCGTTCACCTATTTTATTTTTTATTTTTTTAATAATAGATCTCAAACCAGTTAAGGGGATTCAAAAATAAATCAAGAATAGATGACATAAGCCTATATATATATATATATATATATATATATATATATATATATATATATATATATATATATATATATATATATATATATATATATATTACCGTTATTTGATCGAGAGATATATCTGCTGCATGATCGAGTGTTTGAGATGATTTGATTCTTTGTAGTACTGGAGATATAAAGGATGGAAGTTCGCCCAAGTATTGGTTTGTATCGACATTTCTTATCTGTATAATGCAAGAAAATTAAATAAAAAATTAACGTTAAAAGACGAGAAAACGTACGGAAGAAATAAGATATTTAAGGAATAAACAAGTGCTTGTCTGCAAATCAATAAAGAACTTCTTACATTGTAACAAAATGCGTATCCGTAATGTTGAACTCGTCTTTTGGCAAGATTATGCCACGGCCTATTATCCACCGCCGCAAGCAATTCCTGCAAAATATATAAAAAAAAAAAAAAAAAAAAAAAACCGAAGAAAGATGCTTTCAGAATATTACTCGAAAACGAAGATTAATTAGGAGAAAAAATCAACCAAAATGCGATAACTTAACTTGCTCTTCCTCGGCAGTGACAAAGTCGTGCATTAAGTAAAGTCCGGGAATTTCCAAGTCCGAAGCCGATGTCGAAACTGGAACCGAAGCATCAAAGTTGACCTAAAACGGCGGAAAATAAATTCAGCAAAATTAATATAAAGTCATCCAACAAAAAATCAAATAAACATACGACCCTTGATAAAATCCGAAAAGCAACACGTGCAATATAAGATACCGGAATTTTATCGGGAGTGAAAAAGAAAGTACCTTACCGAGTGACTGTACAGAATACTGAATGTGCAAAAAACGACCCCCAAGACTCGAACATTTATGGCCATTCAGTGCCTTCATTGCAGCTTGTGAGCTACTTTCATCGTGATACGAGACTATAACGCGGGTCCCACTTTCGTCAGCAGCATAGACTCCATTGAGTTCACCATATGCACCAAATACGGTTGCAATAGTTTCGTACGAAAGTCCAACTGCTGGTCCACAGTTAGCCACGTAAAGGTGAGGGCTCGATTCACTGTCTCCTCCCTTCGGACACGTAAATTTTGGTAAACCCATCGGTTATATTCTGTATCAGCATTAAAAAAAATTAAAAACAAAATCGTTATGCCTATTACCAGTATCGAAAAAAATACGGCAATACAATGCAAGAATTAGAAAAAGTAAAAACGACTAATTTTTTTTTTCCGGAACAAGTAGATTCTTGAAATGAGCTTCTATCTTACTATGTTTTAACTAATTTGGAAACGAGGCAGGTTCGAAACCGGACCCCTCGATAAATTTTCGATGCTATTCAAATTAGGGCAACAACCAATTTTTCGTAAAAACTAACTCGTGTTTGTTAAGCTTCTTAAAACATTTCCCCAAAAGAATTCCAAAAGCTAAACAGATAAATTCCACTAAAAAAAACAAATACACATATCTTTTATTTTTCAAATTCTTCTTCTAAATTATGCAACAACAGCTGCTATTTTATTTTATTTATTTAAATAAAGAATGTGTAATTGCTTCGATGCTTTCTGGACAGTAATTCTAACACCGAAGAACAAAATCCCTAAACTTAAATCGAATTTGCCAATACTTTGACACAAATCAAGCTCAAAATTCAGCGATATAATCACAATAAACAATTAATTTAAAAAAAAAAAAAAAACATACCTTAATGAATCTGGATTATGATTCGTTTTTCAATTTGAATGGAGAAGGAAAACGAGTTTCCGAGGAAGCACATTAAAACTGTGGGCTGTCGCCAAATTAATTTTATTCCATTTTTTTTCAATCAATTTTAGATTAATTAATAATTAATTGTTTTTAGCCAAAATAAATACAGAGCAATAGCCCAATCCCAATTAGTAAATGAAAGCCCAAATATATTTCTTTTAGCCCATTGGCCCAGTTAAATTAATTAAGCTTAAATATAAAATTTAATATCAAAGAAAAAAACAAAAGCGGGAAAAAAAAATGAACAAATGAAAATCGTCAAATACAAAGCAGCGCTCATGGGCTTTCCACGTGGCACCCGTCCAGCGCTCCACATTTACGACGCATGAAAAGACGAAAACAACCCCTGCCACTTCTCTTTCTTCCCCAAACCGAATTTCTTACTTGGCTTCGTCAAAACTTCAGACTGAGCTTCAATGGCAGCTGCTACTCTCGCCTGCAACAATTTCCCCCAAATCAAACTCCTCTTCTCACCCTACAAAAATTCCCCACACTGTATCCCTCACATTTTCCCGATTCACAAAACGCGCCGCCCCTCGACTTCGCGGCGCGTGACGAGTAATCGCGATTCGTACGCCCAAATCGGGAACCCTAGAAGCAGCGGTTACAGCAATAGCACCACATTCCGGAAGCTCGACACCTGTCTGGTAATACCCCCTCCTAATGGCAGAAAGCCCAAGGCACTAATCAAATTCCTCGGCGGCGCTTTCATCGGAGCCGTGCCGGAAGTTACTTACAGGTAGTTTCATTTGGAAATTCCAACAACTTCGGAGTTTAATTCGAAATTATTCTGATGAATTTTTATTTTTTTTTCAATTGTTTGAAACAGTTACTTAATTGGATTGTTGGCAAATGAAGGGTACTTGATTATATGCGTGCCGTACAATGTTACATTTGATCACGAACGAGTTTCTCGGGAGATATACGAGCGGTTCCACTCGTGTTTGGATTCTGTTTTGACCACCGGATTGCCGGAGAACGGTATTTCCGCCCCTGAGATAGCCGATCTTCCGTTTTACTCCGTTGGGCACAGGTGCTGATGTCATCAATTCTTCGAGCGTTTTTGTTTGAATTTTTCGTAGAATTGTGTAAATTGTTTTTTTAGCTGCATTTGTTTGATTCTCCATTTAATCGAATTTGCAGTAACGGTGCGCTTCTGCAAGTGCTTACGGGCAGTTATTTCTGCGACAGGATTCCAAAGGTTCGTTCGTCGTGTCTCTTTGTTGGTAAATTACACGAAACCATAAAAATGTCGTTTTTTTTACGATGAATAAATATGCTTGTTTTTTCATTGTTGAAGGCTAATGCAATCATATCGTACAACAACAGACCGGCATCCGAGGCGGTACCGTACTTTGAGCAGGTGTTGTTCCTCAATTTAACTGTCATTTTAAAACATTATTCGGATACGATACAAACTAAATAAAACGTATTTTTCAATATTCGACATTTAATATTTTGCTGAAGTGTATGTTTTCCCTCACTTGCAGTTGGGTCCACTCGTCAACCAGATGATGCCGGTTATCGAGACATCCCCTATGTATTCGATGGCTCAGAACTTCTCAGGTAAAATAAAATACGACATACCTTTCACATGTTTAATATGTCTTCGATTTTGCCATTTGATACGATACTTGAGTAATTTGAGGAAAAAAAAACTTAGTAGATGGATGGAAATCGCTCGTAGATATAGCGGAAAGAGTTATTCCAGACTATGATCAGGAAGCTACTGCGTCTTTGACCAAATTCGTTGACCAATTGCCCTCGGTATTTAATCAGGTATATTCCACAAGATATAGCTTTTTTATTAAAAGCCCTTTGCTTTATCAGATTTATTACATCAAATTCGGACGTAGTGTTATATAAATCTTATGTTCCGTTTTAGGTTGCAGAAGGGACTTCAGAGTTCAAGCCGACACCTGCAGAGAATCTTGAATGTTTTAACAAGTTATATAATGTTCGACGCACTCTATTGGTACTCGTCGTATATACATACTCAAGTCCTGGATAAAATGTAACGACCCTTGGATTGTAATTTTTTTTTTCGTCTCAGGTTAAATTTGATTCGGACACTATTGACGAGACAGATGTTCTTGAAAAGACACTAAAGCCGCGCATTGAATCTTTTGGTGGGAAACTCGAGAAAGTTGTTTTACGTGGTAACCATATAACACCGTGCATACAGGTAAACTATTACAAGTCAAATTACAAATTTCCTTTAAATGCAAAAAGGTCGAATATAGATAATAATGAATAAATGATTTGTTTACGTCGACAGGAGCCGCGGTGGCAAGTGGGAGCTGTATACACTCCAGCAGATGCTATTGCTCAAGGATTTAAAGCTATTTCCCTAAACGACACCAGAACTCTTTCTAGAACCATCAGTGACTGGTTTGACAACCTCGAATAATAATTCGTTCGGAAGGGTAGGATCGGGTTTTCGGCTTCCCTTGTCTTAACGGTTCGTCATTTCTGTTAAAAAAATTTATATGATTGGGAAACAGTAATTCATCTACATAGTGTTAGATTGTAAGAAGAAAGAAAGCAGCATGTTATACTCGTCTGCGGTTCGTTCTCATCTGTATATTTTCAGTCTTGATATGTGTAATCAAGAAAATGAAATTACTATATCGACTGTGTCCTATAATGTAATACATTGCTCAGTTTACATTGCTGTCTGTCTATAATTGATTTCAATACGAAAGTCGAGTATTCGAATATGGTACATATATTGTAATCTTCTGAAATATAAAAGCCACTCAGATAAGAAAAATAAAAAGACGATGATAAACGATACTCGTTGAATTTAATAATTAATAATATAAAATATAAATATTTGTTGTTCAACAAGTTTCACATGTAAAAAAGACCCTCCTCTTTCACCCCTGTGATCCAAGACAAAAAATCACATGGTAGCAGGGTATGGATACATTATATATACAAAAAACTAATATCTATCAAGGAGAATTCTGAGCAGACAAACTATGGCAAGCCTCTCTGCCGATGCACCAAACCCTACTCCGGCTCGGCGTTTGACTCACCGAACTAATCTTCGCCTCTTCCACATCAGCAGAAGCATCACTCTCATGAACGCTGTCGCAAGATTTTCCATCTGTGCTGCTATTATTATTAATATTACTATTATTGAGCTGATGAATAAGAGAGTGCCTCACTCGATCCAGCATCGGGCTATCTGATAACCCGGGAATTCTGGATCCAACGAGATTCGAAATTGCCACCGGCGAATTTGGATTGCTCATGACATCTTCATGCAGAATATCACCTATCCTCGACAGTACGCTGTACGCCAGGCTGGCAAGAACTCGCGAGTATGCCTCCAGAATCGAGTGCCCCACGTCCTGTAAAAATTACAAAGGGTAAATTCGTAAATTAGCTCGTGAAGTGCGCACAGTAGGTGTGGAAATGGGATCGATCCGCTGGGATTAACGTTTTCAGAAATATTCCTCCCATTTGCTTCTTACCTTGCCGTATTGGATTTTCGTCACGTCAAGAAACGTCTGAGGAAGATTCGGATATTTCGCCTTGAGCTCCCGCACGAGCACTTCAGCTCGGTTCACTAAAGACTCCGTTTTTTCCAGCTCAAAAATCGGATCTTTAGCAAAAGACCACGAATTTCGAGCCGGAGATTTTCCATTTCCTTGTTCCAAAATTTTCTCTCTCCACGCAAATATAGCCGCCTCCAATCTATTAATCGCCTCAAGAGCACTATGCTCCGATTTCAAATTCAGACACTCAATCGTTTCCTCGGCAGACAATACTCTATACAGCTCCTCCCCAAGACTCAATTTTCCAGACTGCAAAAAAAAAAGAAAAAAAAAAAAGGGAATCAGAACCAATTTTTCGGCGCATTTTGGGTCGTTGATTTTTTTTACCTTTGGAAGTGCATCCTTGATGGCGGTGGGAATAGGCATTTCGGCCAATACGTTTTCGTTGATCGATTTAGCAGCTTTGAATATTTGATAGATAAGTTTACCATGATGTAATAATCTCTTTCTTTCTATGTCTGAAAGACCAATCGTAGGTACACGAGGCGAAGGTAGCCACCACCGCATGCTCTTTCCATCACCGCTTCTGTTTCTTCCTTCTGCTCTACTACCAACTTCCGTGTACCAAAATTCGGTACCAACCATCGAATCGAGCGTTTCCTATCGAATTTTCTAAATGATTAAATTGAAAAAAAAAATTAAAAAATATTTTCTAAGTGGACAAAGAAAAGGGAACCTACAATAAGCATGGAATCCAATTTCCGCAGTGCAGGGAGATTCATGTGAATGTCCGCTCGAGCTTTTGGTGTCATTATCTGACGACACAAAATTAAAAAGTTACGATTTTTACGTATTATTTTCATTGAATTTTGTATTATTTAATAAATCAATCGTAAAGGGTACCTCTAAAGTACGCCCATTTGCTCCGTTTTGCTTTGCGGGAACCAACTCGACCATATAATTAGTCGGCGAGAGAAGCCATTCCATTTCTCTTCGCCACTTACTCTTTCTTTCCTCGTCCAACGGCTCCAACTTCCATAGCTCACCGAAAACCGAAGCTGCAATTATCAACATAAAAATTCAAGATTTAATAATTCTTGAAAATATTATTAATAAAAAAATAAAAAAAATAAATAAATAACCTGCTAAGTTCGTTATGGCATTGGAAAGTGCTAATGCAGTGGAAGTCCCTTTAGTACCGCCGGTGATATCCTCACCGAGCAATAGCTTAGCGAATTTCTCTTTCATCGTTTCGAAATCCGAAAACTTGTTATTATTACAGTCTTGTTTTTCCTTTGGTTTTTCTTTTTGTGGGGTCCATTCTTCTTGACAATGATCGTCTTTTTTCATTATCGTCCAGAGAGACGAAAATGAACCGAATGCATTAGTATTAGTGCTGGAAGAACAGCTGGAATCATCTTCGTCGAATGAATCAGTGACGCATTCGTCACCTCTGCTCGTCCCACTTTCATTATCGAAAGAATTGCTGTTCAGAATGCAGCTCTCGAGCCCGTTATACGTCATTATTCCTGTAAGTTTCGTTATTTAATTTAGTTGATTTTCAAGATTAAGCAAATAGAAGTCCTAGTAGTAGTAGTAGTAGACTCGATTTCGTATTTGCTTTTTTTATATTTTTAGCATAATATTAATAATATAATAATTCACATGCAAAAACACAGTGACATTACACAAAGTTTGACTTACGAAACTACGAGAATCTAAATGTATCAAATATGTTAAATCTTCAGCACATGGCTTCAACGGCAAACGTTACTTTCATTCTCCAATCTCGTTGTTTATTCGAATCAAATAAACGAAATTTTAAAATTTACCGAATGGGGGAAGTATCCGTTTACTTCTAGCTACAATCTTGAAAAGTCAATTATTTTTTATTTATTTTTTTGAAAATTCTGTAACATACGTAGATCCAAATGAAAACCATACAATTTTTTTGAAAAGGAAATGTCAGAGGACAACGACTTTCTTGTTTCATTAAATAGTGTAATTAAAAAAGTAAGGTCCACAAATTAACACCAATAATTAAATAAATTTAAATTTTTAAGGGCCAGGTTTTTTTTTGATAAATCCCTGTCACTTTACAATGATGTCTACACACAAAATAACAAAACACTTTTGTCTAATGCTACTGCTATCTTACATTTCAAAACATCAAAAAAAAAAAATTTAAAACATTAAAAAGAAAATCAAGAAAATTTTTAAAAATGAGGGGCCACAAAATTGACTTAGGGGAACAAATGGTATCAAAATAAAAGAAACTACCAAGAACAGTTAGCCAATTTGAAATAATGATAAATAAATAAATAAAAAAGACTCTCTTTTTATTTATGTGAAAGGAGAAAGATGCTTTTTTTAATCAGTAAAATTGATGACTTGTTTCAGTCTAACATAGAACTACTTCTTGCAGGGTGAAATAAATGTAAGTAATTAAATGTTGTCACCACCCCACATGGCTAAATAAGCATAGAATGTGCAATGTGGTAGGTTTATGTTCAATATATATATATATATATATATATATATATATATATATATATATATATATATATATATAGAAAAAAAAAGGACTACTTGTTTTACCAAACAAATAATATTCAGATCTCTCTCGATATCTACTAGATGCTACGTCCGGTGAAATACACCGAATATAGAAAAAGGGCTACCTTATAATTCACACACACACACACACATATGTGGGTGTGTGTGAAGTATGGTAGGGGACACCTTAACTGCACCCAAGATTTGATTTTTACACAAGGGAACTTTCAAAGATAAGCCATGTGGTTGGTAATTAGGTACATAGAATATCAATACAAGTCACCATATCTTAACTATAGTAACTTGAACATGTATTAATACTAATTATATTTAATTAAAAAATTCAAGAAAAAGGTGTGAAAGGAAGGAAGAAATATTACTCTCTTGCTCATCGAAATCGATGCTAATCTCCTTTAAATCTCTGGTGCAACAAGCTAGTTTCCTCCTCATCATCATTTTCTTTTTGTTTTTTTACTAATTCCTTAATAAAATTAATTATATCCTCCTGCAAAAAAAAAATTAATTATAATAAGGCATTTAATCATGGATTTAGAAAAAAAAAAAAAAAAAAAGGAATAAAATCCTCTAGATGAAGAACAATAGTAATGAATATGTCACTATTGGAAATCTAGGGACTGGAATTTAATTTTCTTTTACTTGTTTTCCATAGTAGCTAAGAGTAGAGGATTCAGCCATAAATTCTTGACAAATCAAGCGGATGAAAAAATATAGTAAAATAATCACCAATTACGACTTTCTTGCATTAAATAATAAATGGAATTAAATAAATATGAAAAAACAAGAAAATATGGGAATACCAAAATATACGGTGGTTTGTTCCCCTTTAGACCCCTAGTAACGTCTCTCTACACTGGACCAAGTTTCCAAACCAAACATTTTTTTATACAAGAGAAAATTAAATATGGATAAACAAATCAATCTAGTGTACGTGGAGAGAGAGAGAGAGAGAGAGAGAGAGAGAGAGAGAGAGAGAGAGAGAGAGAGAGAGAGAGAGAGAGAGAGAGAGAGAGAGAGGGAGAGAGAGAGAGAGTACAAAACGGAGTTGAGGGAAATCAGTGAGTTGAGTTGAGTTGGAAATGAATAGTATAAAACAAAAGTATGATGATGGTGGAATTGAATTGAATCGTGCGAGAAATAAAAAAAAAAAGGAAGGGTTTTTATGTTAAAGAACCCTTTTTTCTAAGGGGTAATGAGTCAAAAAGAGGGCTGTTTTTGTTATATATGTCAGCAGCCTCTGCAAAAACAAAACTGCCATCTTTGACTGTGCATCACAGATTAAATAAAAAATGAAAACTACATCAAAAGCAAAAGAAAAACACACGCACAACGTGTGTTTGTGTGTGAAGAAATTTTTGTGTGTGCTCTGAAAAAAAAAAAGAATCGGGTGGATCATGACAGCAAACCAACATTATCAACAACTCATTTCACATTTGGAATTTAGAACAAGAAAACGCAAACACACACACACACACACACACACACACACACACACACACACACACACACATTAAGAGGAGTGAGCAGAATCGATGGATTAGTAGTAAAGATTGAATTTTTATACCACATTCTTGGAACCCCACCACACTAAATCAAAACCCATTGAAGAAAAATTAAAGAACATGCAAAACACACACACACACACACACACACACACACACACACACACACACACACACACATAAAGAGGGTTGAGTAGAATCCATGATTTAGAAGTAAAGATTGAATTTTTATACAACATTCTTGAAACCCCACCACACTAAAACAAAACCCATTAAATAAAAAAGAAAAAAACATAAGATTGAAGAGTGAGCAAAAAAGTTCATACCTTTTTTTTTTGTTCTGATCACAAGTAGAGCAACAAGAGGAAAAACCCTTCTCTAATTAAGATTAAAATTGGGGGTAGAAAAAGAAATCTGAAGCAGAGAAGTGAAAGGTCAATCAGAAAGAAAGAAGTAAATTGGATATGAAAATATATTAATTAATGGGAGTAATGTGGGCTGCGTCAGAATTTACAGACAAAAGAGGGAGAGAATAGAATGCATGTGTGTTGGGATTGGGTGATGGAGAGCAACAAGTGGTAAAGAATATATTATTCTATCAAATTTCGAGCGTGAGAGAGAGAGAGAGAGAGGGGCAATTTATTACAATACACATGTATTACAGTGTGTTTGTGTGTGTTTCTTGAATGGTGGAGTGTGGGGGTGGGGGGTGGGGGTGGGGGGTGAGAAGACAGGGGAGAGTGGGGAAGGTGAGATTGAATGAAGCAAAATCTTGATTTGAGATGTGAATTTTTTTGTCCAAGAAAAAAAAAATAAGGGTGATTGATTATTAATTTGGTGTCATTAAGTATGGGATTAGTGTTAATTAATTGTGCCTTAATTTACTCTTTCCCTGGATTTTCTTGTTTATTCACAATTAATTATGATTTTACACTTGTTAATTAGAAATTTGAATTTTGATTAGGGGACCAACTTTGGAACGTGTGGGCAAACCCTTTCTATTGTTATATGTCACTACCCTAACTAATAATTGTAAGCTACACAAGTAGTTTTTCTAAATTTAATTCAGTTAATGGAATTAATTTATTCAAAGAAAATCACAATAAAGCATATTTATATAGATTTTGTGATATTCTTGTATTAATTAAAGAAATTCAAGATGAAGAGGGGCATTTATGAAAATTTATAGGGTACAAGTTGTACGAAAATAGAAATTAATATTAAGGGGTATTTGCAATTTATAAATTCAAGTGGTCTTTTTTATTTTATTATTATTATTATTATTCAAACTTAATTGACAATTTACGTAATTTTTAGTCAATAAATTTATATCAAAGATATATATGATTTTATTTTATCCATAGGAATGATTCATTAAATTGTTTTTGCTTATAATCAAAAAACCAATTTCTTTTAAATTATGAATTTATTAGTGTGAGTAGGGTCTTGGGCCACTCATCTAGGTTGGCGCGGCTTGTAACAAATTGGCAAATTCCTAAAAAGAATAATTATTAAGCTAGTATTCGTGTTGATAATGGTTGATTGATTAATTAATTAATTAATTATTTAATTAATTAAGGCTTTTGAGGTTTTCAAAGTAGCTTTTTAAGTCCCGATTTTGAGCAATAAAATAGGGGTCTAGTACTAATTTTGGCTTAAAGGCTAAGATTTTAGTTTAAGAGTGGAATTGTTGGGGCTAAATAATGTTTTAAGACATTTTATTGTGTGCTTTTTCTACACTTTGTTGACACTTTTTTGACAATTTTAACAAAAAGGTTTTTCAGTTTATGAGCAAATATTGGGATTTGAAATATTATGAGCCCATTAATTAAAATTAAAATTAAATGAAAACACATTAACAAATAGTGTATAAAATAGATATAAATGAATCATAAACATTTTCTTTACCTACATATATATTTTGGGCTTTCCACATTCGAATTGGGCCATATTGCAAGTCATAAGATTTGGAAAGTGTTATATCAATTGGGCTATTCCTCTATAACACATCCTCACAAAGATTCTTTTGCAGTCCTTTGTAGGGCCCATATTTCAATTATGCACACAATCACACACACATACATGCGGATGCGTATAAAATATGCATGAATCCTATACACACGTCTCGTATGGTAGGATATAACCCGGTGAAGTTCGCATATACAATTTATACTAATCTACACCGGGTTAAATTCACCATGTTGGTACAATATAACCTGGTGAAGTGCGTATATAGTTTATATTATGCTACATCGAATGAAATACACCGTGTAGATCTTTGACAAACACACACCCACATTGGTATGTGTAGATCAACAGTGCCCGCATAGGTGTAGCTCAACTGGTTCCGGAGGTGGTAAGTTGGTGCAATGTGTAGATCAACAGTAGCATATAAAAAAAACGGTCGTATACATCAAGTTTCACCACTCACTATACTTAACAAGAAATACCTGCAAATTTGCAATGCACCTGAAAAACTACTCGGGCAAATTCCTACCTGTATATTCTTAAAAGTAACATATAACAAAACAGCATTATATCCCAAAGAAGATTTACCCGAATGAAGGATCTCTGATAAATGCATACAGCAAAGAGTGATCGAAACTAAAGGTTTACTTAAATAAAACTAGTAAATAGATCAGCAATAAATTAGCAAGTTCGTTAATAACAGACGGCCCTCGTTTCTTTAATTAAGAACCGAATATGCCACGTGTGCTCGTATTACAACAATCTATTACACGTCGCTTTAACTATAACTAAAAAAGACGGATATCAAAAGATGATTCATTTACTTTAATTTAGACATGACGTAAACACAAGAACAGATTTTTATCCACCTCCCAACTTAAAACATAAACGTGATCGTTTAATGCCAACCAGATCCTTAACTTGGTGCTTAACTGAAATGGTGATAAAACGGTGATGCAATGCATGCAAAAATCAGCGCGTGCAGCTTCATTTTTACGCTAACACATTAAAATAACCTAATAACCAAAAACAAGTGAATAGATAAACAATAAATTAGCAAGCTCATTAATAACACGCGGCCCTCGTTTCTCGTTCTATATTTCTTATTTAAGAACCGAACATGCCAAGTGTGCTCATATTACAACAATCCATTACACGTAGCTTTAACAATAACTGAAAAAGACGGATAGCATGGCAGAAAAAAATGATAACTTGAACATTACGTAAACATCAAGAAAGTTTTTTTTTTTATCCAACTCCCGACTCAGAAAATAACTGTAAGGTTGCCCTTACTCGGTGGCTTGATGCTTAACCGAAACCACTTACTAAAGGTGTCAACTCCATTTCGTTTGAAAATTGAAACTCCTGCATGTCAACAGAGGAATATATACGCATAACATGGACGTAGAAAACGGAAACTGTATACCACGTACAAATGTATTTGGATAAGCATAAATGAACAACTAAAAACACTGGACTCGACCGATTAAGATACATTAATAAGTCATAAATCTCATGCAAACTACCACAAACCAAATTAACATAAATTTACGTGAACTTAAAATAATACCAGAGGAAACTAAAGTAAAAATACGACACCTCTGCGACTTCAAACCACAACCACTGAAAACGAACATTGATCTGTTCATCGATGGATACAAAAGTGATGCAATGCATGCAAAAAACAGTCTTTTTCCAGCTTCATTTTTGGCTAACAGAATAAAATACCCTAATAATCATAAATTGAATGATGTGAGACAGAGAAACGAATAAACCGACCATGAAGATATTACTGGATAACAAAACTCCATAGTACATCAAAGAAACATCACAGTTCTTCACTGAACAACAAAAATTAACAAGAGGATCTTGCTCAGAAATAAGATCTACACATGGATAACAGTTTCTAATAATTGTAACAGAGATTTTCTCATCAACACAAATCTAACATATCAAAATCAATTTAATCTCAGATTTGCAAAAACCTAAATGCAAATAAGCAACACAAAGGTTTCCTTTTTTTCTGGCATATGCAATCGTCATCATTTGTCTGCACGTGAATCTATATACGGTGCAATAAAGAGATTGAGAATATATTAAAAAAAAAAATCAAGCATTTACCAAAAGAAACATAAGATCTATCATTCTAACAGACTCAGATCCAAAAGTACAACAGAGAAATCAAATGCAAAATCAGACCCGAACCAAATCAAACACTAGATCGATCTGAATCCAATCGGCGGCGTTCACCGCGGTCTCCGATTCAGTTGATGCAAGGCGGGAACCTGATTTTCGCCAAATCAACGGCGTCGTCGCACTCTTACGCATACATACTACGTACGATGAATAAGAGCACTTAATTATTAAAATTTCGACGCGCAAAACGCGCCGCCGCCGGCGAATTAAGTTCCCGACCTGCACCAAGCGAATTAGAGTCCGCCGCAACAAAATTCAATACATATATAAATATATTATTTAAGCATATGCTTCCGTAGAAAGCATAAACAGATCTAAGGGGGAAAAAAATAAGATTTAGAGAGAGAGAGAGGAGAAATGTAGAGAGAGAAAGAGAGAGAGAGAGCGCTCTCAGGCGTAAATGTGTCTGAGAAAATGGGGAAAGAGGGTTTTGAGCGCACGAGAAGCGGGTTAATTTATAGGTGGAACAGACGAAGCAGATGATGCCACGTGTCTGATGACCGACGGTGGGCGAGGCGTTACGAAATAAAGGAAAAAAAGTGAAATCGAATTCGCTGGGAGTTGAAACTTCACCCCTGATATTTTGCGTTAATTACGGGGGGCGCCACTGGATTGTGGTTGAATTCAATTGTCGCGTGCAGCTACAGTGAAAGCACGTGCGCGTGGTACAAAGCGCTGGCCGCTGGACTTTTTAGTGGGAAAGGGCGTTCAATATTATACCTAATATTGATCTTATTTGCACAATAAGATCTATTAATTTTTACTAATTATATAATAAGATATTGGAATTCATATATTATACCTATTATAAACAATTATTAAAATCTAGGAGGATCCAATTCTATTTTGTAATATTTTCTTTTTAATCATTGCCACCTACAAAACTAAATATAAAAGTTTAATTTTTATTCACTAGTGATTAAAATTTATAATTATTTGCTTTAATTTATATTGGGGATATGAATTAATTTAAACTATCAACAATCAAACATGTGTTAACAAGATGAGTAATTGATAAAGTTTAATAATTAATAATGACAATCGAATTTCACATAGGAATAGAATATAAATATATTCCAATCTTTTTCCAATTAGATATATATACTTTTGTTCTTCATTATAAAAAGCAATAGATGAACTTTTATTATTCATTGTTAATTATTCTTGAAAAATTGGGGGCCCTGTACGAGTTTTAGAAATTTGGAAAAATGGGTTCATATTTCTTTTGTATTGTGTAGAAATTAATTTATTCTAACGAACACTACAATAATTTTTTAATCAGCATTAAGAATTTTGTAGGAAATATGATTAAAATATTGATAAAGTTAATGTAAATTAAAAGTTTACGGGGTTCAGAGAAGAACCCTGAAGTTTTTTTTTTAAATAGTCATAGACATATTATTGAACATGTATGTATATATAAATATTTGTTTAA